TAGCAAGAGGGGAGTGGGAGGAGGAGAGAGGGGGAAAAGGTACAGAGAATAAGTAGCACAGATTGTAGGTTGAAAATAGATAGGGGGAGGGTGAGAATAGTATGGGAAATGTAGAAGCTAAAGAACTTATGACACATGGACATGACTAAAGGGGGGGATATGGGTGGGAGAGGGTGTACAGAGTGGAGGGGAGTGAAGGGGGTAAAATGGGACAACTGTAATAGCATGATCAATAAAATATATTAAAAAAAGAAAGAAAACTTCCCTAATTTCATGAAGGAAATAGACATGCAAGTCCAGGAAGCACAGACTCCCAATTATGGTGGATGCAAAGAGGCCCACTCCAAGATACATCATTATTAAAATGCGAAAGGTTAAAGATAAAGACAGAATCTTAAAAGTAAGAGAAAAGAAGTTAGTTACCAGAAAGTTGCCAGATGGGAGTGGGGAGGAAGAGAATGGGTGAAGAGGTGAGGGGATTAGGAGGTCAAATAGGTAGTTACAGAATAGTCATGGGGAGGTAAAGTACAGTATAGGAAATGGAGCAACAAAAGAAGTTACATTCATGACCCATGGACATGAACAATGGTGGGGGGGGATTGCCTAAGGGAATAGGGGGTACTGAGTGGAGAGGGGCAAAGAGGTAAAAATCAGGATAAATATAATAGCATAATCAATAAGATATAATTTTTAAAAAAGAAAAAAAAACACAGACCAAAATAAAAGATGGAAAAAAGATACTTCATCCCAATGCAAAGGCAAAAAAGCTGGGGTAATAGTACTTATATGTGATAAAATTACTTTAAAATCAAGGCTATGGTAAGGTACAAAGAAGAACACTACATAATGATAAAAGGAACAATCCAGCAAGAGGATATAACCCTAGTAAACACTTACATACCAACATAGGAGCACCTAAATATGTGAAGCAAATAGTGATGCACATAAAGGGAGAGACTGACAGAAATACAGTCCTAGTTAGGGATTTCAACACCCCACTGACTTCAGTGGAAATACCTTCCAGAAAGAAAATCAATAAGGAGACAGAGGCCTTAAATGACACACTAGATCAAAAGGATTTAACTGATATCTTCAGAACATTTCATTCCAACACAGCAGGATATATATACTTTTCAAGTGCACATGGAACATTTTCTAGGATAGATAGCATATTAGGATACAAATCTCAATAAATTTAATAAGGTTGAAATCATATCAAGCATTTTCTCTGACCACAATGCTATGAAATTAGAAATCAATCACAAGAAAACATTGAAAAACACGCCAAGACATAGAAACTAAATAACATATTAAACAATGATTGGCTCAACAACAAGATAAAAGAAGAAATCAAGAGATATATTGAAACAAATGAAAATGAAAACACAACAATCTGAAATCTGAGGGACAATGGGAAAGCAATCGTAAGAGAGGAATTCATAGCATTACAGGACTATCTCAAAAAATAAGAAAAAGCTCAAATAAACAATCTCTCTTTACACTTAAAGGAATTTGAAAAAGAACAACAAACAAAGCCCAAATGAGTGCAAGGTAGGAAATGATAAAGAACACAGTAGGAATAAATGAAATAGAGTCAAAAAAGGATACAGAAGATCAATGAATCCAAGAACTGGTATTTGGAAAAGATAAACAAGACTGACAAACCCTTACCCAGACTTATCAAGACAAAAAGAGAGAGGACCCAAATAAGTAAAATCTAAAATGAAAGAGAAAAAAAAAGAAATAAAAAGAAAGAGGAGAAATTACAACTGACACCAAAGAAATACAAAGGATTATAAGAAAATATTATGAACAATCATATGCCAACAAATGGGACAACCTGGATGAAATGGATAAATTTCTAGAAATGATCTTCCTAAACTAAATCAGGAAGAATCAAGAGAATCTGAATAGACAAATTACACCTAGTGAAATTGAAGGACTGATCAAAAAACTCCCAACAAACAAAAGCTCTGGGACAATGGCTCCACAGGTGAATTGTACCAAAATTTCTAAAAACTAATACCTTTACTTCTCAAACTATTTCATAAAATTCAAGAGGAGGGAAGGCTCCCAAACTTATTTCATGAGGGAGCATTATCCTAATTTCAAAACCAGATTAAAACACTACAAAGAAAGAAAAATATAGGTCAATATCTCTGATGAACATAGATGCTAAAATCCTCAACAAAATATTAGCAAAGTGAATACAGAAATGCATAAAAAATTCATACTCCACAATCAAGTGGATTTTATTCTGGGAATGCAAGATTGGCACAACGTTCTCAAATCAATAAATGTGATATGCCACATAACCAAAATGAAGGACAAAAACCACATGATCATATCAATAAAATCAGAAAAAGCACTTGATAAAATTCAGTACCCATTTATGATAAAAAGTCTCAGCAATGTGGGAATAGAGGGAACATACCTAAACATAATAAAGGCCATATATTACAAACTGGCTGCCAGCACCATACTCAATGGGCAAAACCTACAGTGATCCCCTTAAGATCAGAAATGAGATAGGGATGTCTGCTTTCACCTCTCTTATTCAGCATAGTACTGGAAGACCTAGCCACAGCAGTCAGACAAGAAGAAGAAATAAAAGACATCCAAATTAGAAAGGAGGAAGTAAAACTGTCACTCTTGGCTGATGACAGGATACTGTACATAGAGAATCCCCAAGATTCCACCAAGAAACTACCAGAACTGATAAATGAATTCACCAAAGTAGCAGGATACAAAATTAATATCCAGAAATCAGTTTCATTTTTATATGCCAAAAACAAACAGAAAGGGAAATTAAGCAAATAATCCCATTCTCAATTGCTACAAAAAGAATAAAATACCTAGGAATAAACCTAACCAAGGATGTGAGAGGCCTGTTTTTGGAAAATTATAAGACACTGGAGAAAGAAATTGAAGAAGAAACAAATAAGTGAAAGCATATACACTGTTCATGAATTGAAAGAATTAACATCATTAAATGTCTATACTACCCAAAGAAATCTATAGATTCAATGCAATTCCAATCAAGATTCCAATGATGTATATCACAGAGCTAGAACAAATATCTCAAAAATTTATATGGAGCCACAAAAAGCCCTGCATAGCAACAATGATCCTGAGAAAGAAGAACAAAATCGGAAGAATCATGCTACCTAATATCAAATGACAGTGTTTGGGCACGTATAATGTGCACTTTTTGCCCAAATTTTTTTAGGAAAATATAAGGATACGCATTGCACATGGGCAGTATACATAAAATTTCTTGTACCTTGTGTCTGTTCTTGTGTTCATAATTATTTGTTACATAATATTTCTTGTACCATAATATGTTAAATTAATGCTAAAATTCCTTTATAATACAAAAAACAAGTATTTAAATATAAATAAATAAATAAATAAATAAATAAATTTAAAAATTAAAACAAAAGACTTTTCTCCTGAAAGCTAGGGCCAAAAATATGAGTATTATACATTGCAAAATATAGTATACTAGAATAGAAGGCCATAGTAATTCAAAAGCATGGTGCAGGCATAAAAACAGACACATAGATAAATGAAACACAACAGAGATCCCAGAAAGAAACCCACACCTCTATAGTCAATTAATATTCGACAGAGGAAGCAAGCACACACAATGGGCTAAAGATAGTCTATTCAATAAATGGTGTTGGGAAAACTGGACAGATACTTACAGAAAAATGGAACTAGACCACTCTCTTACACCATGCACAAGAATAAATTCAAAATGGATGAAAGACTTAAACATTAGACCCAAAACCATAAAAATGCTAGAAGAAAACTTACACAGAAAAGTCTCAGACATAGCTCTTAGCAATATTTTATCGGATATATCTCTGCAGGCAAGGGAAACAAAAGAAAAAGTAAACAAATGTGACTACATCAAACTGAAAAGTTTTTGCACAGAAAAGGATATCATCAACAAATTAGAAAGACAAGAATATGAGAGCGAATATGAGAGAACATATCAGCTGATATATCTAATAAGGACTTACTATCCAAAATTTATGAAGAAGTTACAAAACTCAACACCAAAAAATAAACAACCCAATTAAAAAATGGGCAAAGAACCTGAATAGACACTTCTCAAAGAGGACATATAGATGGTCAACACAGATATGAAAAAGATGCTCAATGTCACTAATCATCAGAGAAATGCAAGTTAAAACCATAATGAGATATCATCTCACACCTGTCAGGATGGCTATCATCAATAAATTAGCAAACAACAAGTGCTGGTGAGGATGTGGAGAAAAAGGAACCCTTTTACATTGTTGGTGGGAATGCAGACTGGTGCAGCCCCTGTGGAAAGCAGTATGGAGATACCTCAAAAAATTAAAAATGTATCTGTCTTTTGACCCAGTGATCCCACTTCTGGGAATATATACAAAGAAACCCAGAACACTAATTTAAAAGAACATAACCACCCCTATGTTCATTGCAGTATTATTTACAATTGCCAAGATATGGAAGCAGCCCAAATGGCCATCAGTAGATGAGTGGATAAACAGCTATGGGATGTTTACACAATGGAATACTACTTGGGCATAAAAAGAAGAACGTTTTATCCTTTGTGACAGTATGGATGAACCTGGAGAACATTATGCTAAGTGAAATAGGCCAGTCAGGGAAAGACAAATACTATATGATTTCACTCATAGGTGGAATCTAATGAACAAACTGAACAAGGAAAATGGGGACAGACTGATAGATTGAGAGCAGGATGACAGGTGGTGCCTGAGGAAGTGGAGAGACTGAGCAAAAAGGAAAAAAGACTCATGGACATGGACAACAGTGTGGTGATTACTGGCAGGAGAGGGTATAAGCAGATTAAATGGTAATGGAAAAAATATGATAAAGGTTATATTAAAAATAATTTTGTATTTGAGTTGACTCAGATAAGTGAAAGAACATGTGAACTTGGAAGTGAATTTGTATTGTAATTTAATTATTTATCTTTAACCTACTTGTTTAACAATTTTTGCTGCATCTGTGTTTCTCCTATAAAATATTTCCTTGTATTCATCCATCCAGACTTCTGCAAGGCGAACTTGGTTGCGAGCAATCACCTGAGTGCCTTTTGGAAAGGTATGAGGGCTTTTGCTGCGAAAAACATGTCCAACAACAGAGCAAGGCATAATCTCCAACTGCCCACCACATTGCCATACCTGATAATTAATGATATTTGTTTAAATTTACAGTATTTTAGGAAAATCAAAGTGTTGCTTTAAGTTCACCTTTAAGATATTAATAAAAGCAAAATATAGAAAAGAGGTTTATCACAACTTCACAGCTCAAGTTCTTAAATATAAAGAACAATTTTATTAAATGGTATACTAAAGTTGACAAAAGCATATTTTTAGAAATTTAACAAAATACAGATTTCAGATCTTTCATAAAAATGAATCCCAAATTTTTGTCAAATAATTATGCAAACTCTGTAATATACACAGAAGAGCAAAGGCTCTTCTGCATTTGACTTCTGTCTTATGCAACTTGTATAGTTACTTCACTTGAACAACAGTCTTCTATGGGATGAAGTAGCAGTTGTTGAGTAAGTGAACCCACACTCTATTCATCCCTTGTTTATTCAAATTTTAGGTAAGAACACAATTCCAGATCGCCATTATTACCAAAGTAAAATCTATTAAACTTATAAAGTAATTGGTCATTGTAAAACAAACAAACAAAAAAACCCTAACTATTTAGAGATAGTCAAGAAAATTTCCCTGCATTAACTCTAAATAAAATGGCAAATCATTAACTCAATACCTATTCAGTTAAATATCTTGACAATCAACTCTGCCACAAATGGTCACTAAGCAAAACATCTAAAATAAAGTCATGTTTAATAGTATGTGCTAGTACTAGGGCAAGTGACCGTATTCTCCCCTTTTTCCCCTCTCTTTTAAACAAATGAGAAAACTCAGTGATATGTTCAAGTCAACAAACTGTGCTTGAGATCTAACATGTGTTAGGGGTTGGGAATACTTGAAATGAATAAAACAAGATCCCTGGCTTTAAGCAGTTCAAACTTGGCTAAGATCGTCACTGCCATTATGTGATGGATTCTGAGCCAAAACTTAAATCTTCTAACTCCTAGTTCAGTTATTTTTCCACTACATTCCTGCCTAGGGGATAAAAAATGAATGACAAAGTCATTACAGCCAATGAATTCATAAAATCAAGTAAGTGCATGTGGAGACCATCCAAAACCTTTGTTTTGTTTCTCATATTAACTTTTCATATGTATAGGAAGGGGAAAAAGAAAACCTCATATAATCCAAAGAGTTGAGTTCAATGTCCTTTAAAATTATATATAAATGTGGGTTTTTTTTTCATTCTAACTCCCTTGATAATCAACTTATTTCCTGAAGCACTGGATTTAATTATATTTATCTTGGCTGGAATTCAGTAGCTGCAAGTGCATTAATTGGTGTTTTTGCTTGGACATAGGCATTTAACTGATTCTTCTTGTTACATTGGCAGCAATGAATAAATATATTAAATTACACTTTAAAAGGAAACATCCTATGCTAAAAGTCCTAGCAACTTAATTTTAGAAAGCTCAAAAACTAAAGACAGCGTATATCCATGGTAATCTGTATCAGCCAATTAGAACAAAATACATCTCATTGTTTAACATGTACGCAATGTTTATAAACTTACTCTGAAAGACATTTCTATATTTTCACCTCCCCAGATTTCCATTTCTTCATCATAAGTTCCAATATATTCAAAGTATTCTTTTGATATGGAAAAAAGACCTCCTGCAAAAGTGGGTGTTCTGAAAAACAATCCATTGTCCAACTTTATGATTGATACCAAATAAGAAAAAATAACATATTTAAAGAGAAATTGAATCAAAGTCACAAACATATCAAAGAGCGATCCCAATTTCAAAGTTCTTTCATAGATTAATAAAAACTGAAAATTCTAGATTTAAAGTCAAGTTGGAGAGTGGATACTTTAAGTATCCTTTCCCAATAGAGTAAAATTATTAAGTATCTTCTAACCAAGCTTAAATATTCTTTAGTAATAATTAGGAAGGAGGCATAAGAGCTCACCTAATCCTACTTCTTACTCAGTAACATTACGTGTAAGTACATATATACATGAATTCTCTATTCTCTACATATAGAATGTGTGTGTTCTGCATTTTGTTAGGGTGAATTACCGTGGAGGCATTTACTGTAAAATGCAAAGCACACATACATATTCAAATAATTGAACCATATATATAAGACTTTGTGAACAATCATCTTACTTAATTGGGTAGGTTTCATCCTTCCTTCTTTGCCTCTCATGATCAGGAAGTGCTTCCCAGCCAAATGAAAGGCTCCAGTCAAAATTTCCTCGGTTATGGTTAATTCCATAAGGAGAGGGTTTGTTGAATTCAAATGTATTCATATCTATGGATGCAATATCCGGACTCACAACGGCCGTGTAGTTCTCAGCTATTCTGGCCAACAAAGGTTCTAACCAGCCATAGAAACACTCACCTAGAAGGAACACAATTCTAATTAATTTATTGAAGACATTCAGGGTTTCTCTTTTGTTTTGGGGAAGTAGGTTTACAGAGGAATGAGAATGAAGTCATTTGTGTTCTGAACATTTATAAAGGGGGAGATTTCTTAAAGGTTTCTTGTGAGGAGATCAGGGTAAGATTTTTAAACAGTAAAGCAAAATTCTGCATCGTTAGGAAAGCTTTCCTACAGACAACGATCTATTTTTCACTTTTAAAAGGCAGCAAAATGATACTGGTGTATTTAAGTTTCAGATGAGGTGTTTCTCTTTCTAATGGGCCATCAGTCAATAATAACTTTTTGCTGATCCATACCACCTAGCTCCAAATGTGTTCTGACTTATTTAAACTTGTCTCCCTGAGTAAAAAATAGTAATCAAAATTTTCATTTCTCTGACTGGATGTTAGGAGAAAGTAAGTTAAGGAGTCAGAATATTCTGATTTTAACAGTTGGAAAAGGACCATGCAAAGCTGTACCAGCATTAATGTAAAGTAGAGCAAAGGAATGCTGTGAAAATCTGGGCCCTGGTCCCAGGCCAGGCTGTCTCACAAAACACAGAGTTCAGGAGATGCCGACATGTGCAGTCCTACTCAGGGTTCCCATCAAGGGGAGTTCGGCAGTCACAGTCCAGGAGAAACATCAAACACTTTTTCCTGGAGGGGAAGAATGCCCAGTCTGACATTATTGTAACTTTGGACCAAGAGAGAGAACACTGGAGAATGGACCATTTCCTTTTAAAATCGCCTCTCTTGGATTATCTTCTATCTCTCTTCATTTTTAAGTGGCTGGTAGTAAAAGAATATTGGATGTGTTAGTTCTAAAGAGATTCCAGAAAATCCAAAACCTTATTGTGAGAATTAGTGTAAACTCAATATCATTTGCTGGATTAAACACAACCAAGGGCTGGCAAATTAAAAGCTAAACACTCATAGAAAAAGTTAACACTCACCAAATTTACAGCTCAAGGGACAAAGGGACATTTTAGTAATACCTAACGTGTACATTAAACATTAACTCTAAAATACCTTCCAAATACTTTATTTAAAATAATTGAAACTGAAAAAAAACACGTTAAAATAGAGAGGAAAAAAAAATCCTGGCAGCAACAAAAGCCGACAATCTTCATGGGAGAAACAGCAGAAGCTGGGAGGGGGAGTGTGTGAATCTTTGGGGAAGGGTGAAGAACTGAAATATGCAACTTAAAACTGTTAGTACAGGGACAAAGTTTAAGGATAAGGCTGACTACATTTAAACAAAACTTTCACTTGTTTTAAAGTGTGGGAGTCAAGAACAAGAAAAAAAAATACTACCACACTTTCTTTTTCTTTTTTTAATAGAATGAGCATATGAAAAAAAAAATCCCAGGGAAGGATAACTCGCTTGGGAAGCTGGTCACTAGAAGACATTAAAGCTGAGGAGCCTTGATCACAAAGAAGGTAAGAAATTTGCATAAGTGAAAGGAAGGGTCTAATCAGAGCTATAATCTGCTTGGGCTGTCAATTCCTATAATCACCAGTTAAAAATGATGTTAAAGAAAATGCAATTAGGCATCTAAAGAAAAAGCTTCCTTACCTTTTAAATTAGGGGGTTGGGGGAGGAAAAATGTTACAACTGTGTCTGCACATTTATACTTACAGTGAGCATCTAAAAATGTGAGCGTTTCAGCTGTTGCTACCGTTGCTCCTAGCAACCGTGCAGTGATCAGACCTTTTCTCTCTCTTTGTCTGACTATTTTTACTATAGAAAATTGCTTTATATATTCCTCTAGTTTATCATGTAAGTACTCTGTAAGAAAAAACAAATCAAGATTAACTCTTAAGTTTATTTTCATGTGACATGAAAGCTAATAAAGAAACCACAGGGCAATAATATCTCTACATTGACAGTCTTAACAGTTACATGCATTCTTCCATTAAGATGAAAATTTTATCTTTAACTCTTTATTGAAAAAAAAGCTATATATGACAAATCTTAACTTCTGAATTACTGTGAAATATAACATTGTAACACATATTCTGTATATGCCGTATCAATAATTTGGGGAAAACTGAGAGACTTCAAATGGAGCGAATGCCAGGAGTTCAGAAGATTTATTTAGAGAAAATTAACTAAGGGAGTAAAGAAACTAAAGCTGGCCAAAAAGATATTGGATGCTTTTTAAAATTGTTACCAATTTTTGGAAATTTTAAGAAAAATGCCAAGTATCAAAAGGATTCTCTCATACTTAGTGATCAAAATAACTTAAGACCAAAACATTGAGCAAAAAGTACATAAGAAAGTCCAGTTCTACAGCAATTTGGGAATATTTCTACAGAATCAGCAGAAAATTTTTGAGAGCTTTAGTCTCCTGACACAGAATTTTTTCCAGTAAAAATATGAAAGAATAATGGAACATGTAAATGGGGAATGAAGCTAAAAATAGACAAAATTTTAATAATAGATATATAATTTTAAGGTATTCAATATTCTATTTTGGATGAGATACATTATAAGCAAGAGTTAAGACAGTAGGTAAAAGAAAATATTAATCAAGTCAGTCAAGTGTTCATATTTTTAAACAATTTCTTAGGCCTGGTTTTCATCATTAAATTTTGATTTCTTGTTGAATATATAATGCAATTCTTCCAGTGGGCTTCTCAGACCCATAGAATAGCCTAAAAAAGATTAGGGAATATTGAGAACATAAATGTGCTATGGTAGATGTTCACTTCTTTCTGCCAGATTTCAGAAGCAAATGTAGATGGCTTCATTTGTGATTACATGTTTTCTTAGTTCTTCAGTGGTGCAGATAAGAGAGTTGCTTATTCAAAACTTAAACGTTCATAAAGGAAGTGAGAGTCTAGGAACAACTTTTGAGGAAAAACAAATCTAAATATTGTTGCCTCAGAGTAATATTTGCCTCAGACAACAAGCACAATTGTAATTTGTATTAAAAATATAATTATGGACATCCCTGCTTTAATGATAGACTTGTGAAATAGAAACTTATAAAAACATTTCAAAGGTATTAATGTGGATTTTTTTAAAAAGTGGAGTCACAGCCCTGGCTGGCGTAGCTCAGTGGATTGAGCGTGGGCTGTGAACCAAAGTGTCGCAGGTTCGATTCCCAGTCAGGGCACATGCCTGGGTTGCAGGCCATGACCACCAGCAACCGCACATTGATGTTTCTCTCTGTCTCTCTCTCCCTCCCTTCCCTCTCTAAAAATAAATAAATAAAATCTTAAAAAAATGGAGTCACTAGAGATTCCTTCAAAAAATGGCCCAATAAATTGTTGGAATTTAATTTACATTTTTATTTACCCACATCTTTCAAACTTCCTGTGAATTCTTACCTGCCCCCTAAATTTAGTCCCCATCTACACCCTGATATTTTTTAGGTTTAGAACACAAAGCTATGAAATCAGACCTCCTGGGTTCAATTTATAACACCATTACTTTTAGCTGTGTGACTTTGGGCAAGTTATTTTACCTTTTGGTAACTCAGGTTCTTTATAAAATGGGGATAATAGGATTGACTCTCACAAGATGTTGTTGGAAGGATAAAATGAGAGACAACTAAAGCCTTTTAGATGGAGCCTATGCACGTAAATGTTGATTATCTTCTGTTTTGCTGTCATTGGTATTTAACTATATCTGTTACTTGATTATCCCCATTTTTATGCTGCTTTTCCCTAAGCCAGCTGAAATCAGGGACTGTGGTTTCTACTGCACAATGCCTTAAGACAAGTAGTGAGTGACACATTTTCCACTGTGGGTTTTCATTAGACAGCTCTTTGTCTGATTCATTGAGACACACTATGCCAGTATGCAAAGACAGCCCTCGCCAAGAGAACTGTTCCAAATCTATTGTTAACTGCTATAAAAATTATAAAAATATTCAGACCCTTTTGATCAAGTAGGTCTACTTCTAACCTACTCAAAGATATAATTCAAATGAAGAAAAATAACAGAAGTACAATGATATCCATTGCACTGTAATGTACAGTAATATGAGGTGAATAAAAATAAGTGGTTAAGTAAAATGCATCTAGCCCATAATTGTCATTAAAAATAAAGTTTTAAAAGTAAAAGAAATGACTTAATAATGATGTTATGTGACAATATTAGATTTCAAAACTGTATTTCTGACATGGGTATAACTAGACAAACCTTCTATATTTATTTTGATAGTGATTAAAAAAGGAAAATACTAAAATGATTGAAACAGGAAGAATATGAATGGATATCACTTTCTGATATCCACTCTGATTTCCTTTAATTCTATTAAATTTCTTTGTGCAATTAAATAAAAAAGTTTCCTTCAACTGAAGGCTTACAAAAAGTAACTGCATTACTGTACCCCTATTTTCTCACTACTTGAAAAATGAAGCAAAATAAATTCATCCCTGAAAATAAAGTTTAAGAAACCAAAGAGGGAAAAAATATCTAAGACAAAAGCTTTTTTTTAAAGATTTTATTTATTTATTCTTTAGAGAGGGAAGGGAGGGAGAAAGAGAGAGAGAGAGAAATATCAATGTGCAGTTGCTGGGGGACTTGGCCTGCAACCGAGGTATGTGCCCTGACTGGGAATCGAACCTGCAACACTTTGGTTCGCAGCCAGCGCTCAATCCACTGAGCTATGCCAGCCAGGAAAAACTCTTTTTTTTTAAGGTAAAACATATAAGGGTGTGCAGAAGTTAATCAGATGTCACACTCTATGGACTGAAGTCCAAATGGAAAGAGTAAGTTCAGAACAGATCAAGCAGTAAATAAATTAGTTGATTACAACTGAGTGGTAATGCAGCCTGGGTAAGGGGATTAAGGATTCAGACCAGAGATCTGCATGAAGTGTTGGAGACATGAATTATAAAACTTCCCCTTTGGGGAGTATGTCTCACATCCAGGTCAAAAATCTCCCTGTGATAGGCAACCTTATTCTACCTAGATGCTAATTTAACTGGAGAACATAATTTTAATTCCCTCAACAGCTTTTATTTTCAAGCCATAGGAATGTTTAGATATATAGAAATATTTAAATAAATTGTATATTAGAAATAGGTTAATAATTTCATGCTTTATTCTCTTATTCCCATTTCTGAAGTCTCAAGATATAATTGATAACATCACTTAATACACAATGTCTTTTTTTTTTTTCTCATAGTACATAAAGTAATGGTTTATCTGACCACAGATGTTGCTTTGGAATTGATGAAAGACTATCAACCCAATTTTAAAGATGAGTAAACAGCTAATGAGTGTTGGAGCTGGAGTTTGACCTTAAGAAATCTGGCTCCAAACTCTACAGTCCTGTTCCTTTAGCCCTGGCCTGGGTGGCTCAGTGGATTGTGGGCTGGCCTGCCGGCCAGAGGTCATGGGTTCAATTCCCAGTCAGGGCTCACTAGGGAATAATTTTGTAATCATTGAAATAATCTATATCTGTTTGGTATTTAAAATGCTTGTAATGTTTGAAAAATTGGTGTACAGAAAATTGCTGTACTTGTCAGATCAGCCTTGATTCCAATTTAAAATGTGTAATTTAATAACTGCTTCTTGACTTGTGATTTTAAGTGGCAATGCATTAAAGAATTTGGCTAACTTTGTTAACAATATTGGAAAATTTAAGAGCCAAAATAAAACAGGATATGGTGACCAATTAGTGGTTTTTAACTACTCATTTATATTAATTACATATTATTTATATTAACTTACCTAGTCTTCAAAACAACCCTAGGAATTACGTACTATTTATGGATTTCCTCAGTTCTAAGCTGCACAATTGAATAATTCTTATAATCAATGGCATCTTAGTTTAACTGGTGGTGAGAGCTTTTTATACTAGTGGTTTATAAACAAATGACATTTCATACAACCAATTTGATGAAATGTGGCATTTTTCCCATTTTACAGATAGTGAAACTGAAGCATAGTGGGGTTAAATAACTTACCCACGTCACACAGCTGCTTAGGACCAGAGCAGGGATTCACACCAAGGCAGCCTGGGTTGAGGCTCATGTCTATGCTCTTAACTACTGTGCCTTACAATAAAAGTGTTACATAAAGGGCTACAAAGTTATGAATAGTGATGTTTCATACATTACTGAAGAGTAAAATATATGAATATGAACACCCATGGATTTTGCTTTCATCTACTATATATACCATTCAAGCTATTTTATTCAAGCTCTGAAATGGTATTCAGAGAGTACAATATAACTAAATAGACCTTAAACAACACCATATGGATTTGGGAAACAATCTAACTTGCATGTGCTTTCTTACCATCTACACTAGCATCATCCACCAAAATGATTTCCTTCAGCAGTATGGCGGGTGAAGAATAGAGCACACTGTAGACAGTCCTAAGCAGCGTGGACCACGCTTCATTATGAAAAACTATTATGACACTGGTGGTAGGCAGGGGAGGACAGCGCTTAAATTTTTGTTCAATACATCTAGAAAAAGTCGAAGAATAATTATAAGTTTTACTACTTTATTTCAGCTATACCATTACCAAAATTATTATTTAACTTTATTCACTGTAGAAATGATGGTGAATAGCGTTTTTTTTAACTGCATAAGATGATCTTAATGCTATATAAGTTTAAAGTTTAAGTAGATCAAAACAAAATATTTCACAAGCAGACCACTCACCCAGAGATCATGCCCACTGATATGGATTACATGTCAAAGATTAGAACACACTATAGTAAACATTTTCTACAATATAATTTTAAACACAAATAACATTTTAAATAAGGAAAATAACGTACAAATGAGACAACTGTAAAAATGGCAAATACTTGTAATTGGTCAAATGAAAATCAAATGTTTCTTCTTCCTTGTAGAAATCATACTTTCTCATTTAAAATTTTTAAAAGTGCAATTTTATTAAATGAATATTCATCTTTGTATTGATTATCTTAAATTTGATACTTTCCTGTGTAATATTTTCCAAATTTATTTAATCAGTTTACTTAATCTATAGTTGAACCAAAAGGAAAAATACAGCTTACTATAAACTTATTTTCTTACTATTGTCATCATTCAGTGAAACTTAAGTTCCTACAATATGCTATATCCATTCTTTTAAAGATTTTGTTTCAATAATCCAGGCTATTGTTTAATTAAATGAGATTTAGCATTTTAAATATTTCTTTAAAAAATATTTAGAAATCTAAAATAAAAGTCCTAAATCCATGTTAAAAGTCCTGTGCCTCTAGCCCTGGCCTGTGTGGCTCAGTGGATTGTGTGCCAGCCTGTGGGCCAGGTGTTACTGGTTCAATTCCCAGTCGGGGTACATGCCTGGGTTGCGGGGCCAGGTCCCCGGGGCAGGGGTGGAGGAATGTGGGAGGTAACCACACATTAACATTTCTTTCCTTCTCTTTCTCCCTCTCTTCCTCTCTCTAAAAATGGATAAATTAAAATTAAAAAAAAAAAGTCTTGTGCCTCTGTTGCCACATAAAACACTGATAGGCACAAAGACAGAGATTCTAGTTTTTTATAACTGATTAATGGCACTGTGCTACTCATTAGCTATAAACATTAGTTATAAATTGATCTTTAATTCATTTTGATAACAGTATTATAATCAATGGCATCTTAGTTCACTTCCTTAGTGAAAATAATCTTCATATGAAGCACTGGGGTATGGGTGGACCTGTATAGCCTCCAGGCTTTGAGACTAGAGCTGACCCCAGCCCCCTGGCCTATTGAGTTAAGGTGACAATCAAATGAAATAATGTGTAGGACAGGGCTTCAAAACGTTGTAAAACCAAACAGAGTGAACTTGGAACATAAAGCATGTGTGGTCTATGGTAAAGATAAATTTAAAAAGTTTAAGTTCACTTAAAAACCATAAGTGGTTGTATAATTTCAGACAACAGATTACAAAATTCTCCCATAGAGTCAAAAGGCACTTATAAATAAGTGTGTGAACAATCAAATAGTGCTGTTCTAATCCAAAGAGAAGAAAGTAAATCATTCACTCATGTAGCTAAGGGCCCAGAACACTTCAGTTGCTCTACCAGGGCCCATGCGGAAACCAGAGCCTCCAGTATATTACCAGGAGCCCGGGACTGCTGCCCTAATAAAGAGATATCCTATAAATTCTCATTAATTACTTTTATATCCAGACCTCAATGCGGATATATTTTAGATTCTCTTCTGAGAGGAGGTCTTTAGAGTGGAATATCTGTAGTGCTGAAAAAGGAATTAGACTGGGAATGGAGTATTGAAAGGGTGTCAACACAAGTGAGTAGAAAAAAGAGGAAGTGACTGGGTGAAAGTGACTTTGCTCTCTAGCACTTTGTTATTTCAAAGTATAATATATATACAGAATCAGAAACAAATAATCACATTCAAGCTCATTGATAGACAAAAGAAAATGATTTATTCTAAATTGAATTTCAGAAAAACTATAAATTAAAAATAATGTCCAAACAGAAACTACCTACTCATATGTACACTTAATTAATTACACAGCGACAAATGACTAAGTATAAAACTTGAATCTCTAAGTATAAACTTGAATCTAAGTATAAACCAACATAAATTATAAGTAAAAAAATTATGAACAACTCCATATTATAGCATTTCCTTTTTTTAAGATAAAAGGTAATCTTAAGGATTTGTCTTATAAACATTTGCTGGAGAGGTTTTCAGAATTTAAAAAAAAATGTTTCCCTACATTTATTTGCCATGTGACTAATATAATATTAATCAAGAATTATAAAAAAGTTTTGAAGATTTAGAGTCTAAAACTTCACAGAAATTCACACTAATAAAATGTTATCATTCTAATCTTATAAAACTTTCCCTCAGTTTAAGCTAGGATTTATTTGCTTAACTGATAAACACTAATATCAAGTAAAAGTGTTATGTAATATCATTAATGCAAGTGGTAGTAAAATTTCATAAACCTTACTTTCATTTATCCTGAAACAATTTTGATGTTAAACTTATGCTTTAAAACCTGTTTCACAAGTCATTTAAAATAGTGAAATTAAATAACTTGTCAAAGTCAGTGCATATTTCCAAACCATTTAAAAAATTTAGCATATAGAAAATTAGTTAATCAGTCACATGACCATCTGGCTTGAGGAGAAACTGGATCTAAATTTCTAGTGAGCAAGAAGATTAGGAATTCTTCAGAAAATGTGTTTTTTTCCTGAAAGAGGTTAAATTTAAAGTAAGACAGTATTTCATAGCAGCATTATTTAAAATAGCGGGAAACAGCTTAAATGCCCATCGGTAAGTGAGTGGATCAAAAACCTGTGGTATATTTACAAAATGGAATACTACATAGCAGAAAGAAAGAAGGAATTCCTACCCTTAGGACAGCATGGATGGAACTGGAGTATATTATATGCTAAGTGAAATAAGCCAGGCAGTGAAAGACAAATACCATATGATCTCACCTATAAGTGAAACTTAATCAACAAAACAAACAAGTGAGCAAAATATAACCCGAGACATGGAAATAAAGAACAGACAGTGACCAGAGGGGAGGGAACAGGGAGGTAATGGGGAAAAAAAGAGAAGTGTCAAGTTTCAGAACATGTATATAAAGGACCTGTGGACAAGAACAATGGGGGGTATGGTGGGAAGGAATGAATGTAGAAGGGAAGGGGTGGGCAGGGCAGGGGAGAGCAATGGGATAAAAATGGAGATAACTGTAATTGAACAACAATAAAAACATTTTCTTTAAAAACATTTTAAAGAAAGTATTAATCTTCACAGTTGTGGATATCCACGCATATCCAAAAAAAAAGGCACTTAGTTATTTCTCAACTTACTTAATGATTGACATTATTGAATATTCCTATAGTTTTATAATGTTATATTGGGAGAAACAAAAGCTTATCTTGAGCTGACACTGATTGTCATGTCAAAGAATAAGTATCATGCTTCTTCATTTGTGATGTGAATTGCTTCTTAACCAAGACCTCTCCCAAAATCAGTAACGTGTGTTTTAACCTACTAATGTAAAAAAAAATTGTGCCCTGTTATAACAGCTAGAATACTTTATAGATATCCATTTGTTGATTTACACATTCATTTAAGAATTATAAGCAACTTAACCTTGAATGACACAGATTAGAATACAGCAGCAAAAACCTAATCTACATAACTTCAACATTGAGGGATTCACAGTTGGAGCAGGGTTTATAATCAGATCATAAATCTAGAAAAATAAGAGTGAAACAATAGACCTAAATCTGCCAAAGTTCCTTTCTTCAGGTTTACTTCCAAATATAATTTTATTATAATCAGAAATCAAAGTATGCAGGCATTGTCTGCTTACAGTTTATCTGTCTTAAACTTTTAACAGATCTACAGATGGTTTGAAAGTGCTGGAAATTCATTTTAGCTGTTTCAGTTTAAATAGAGCACCTGAACACTGACTCAACGATAACAAAATGGTTAACAAAGGACAGCCAGCATAGTAGAAGCTGGGGGAAATCTTAATCAAAATACTGTATTCTTGAAATAAACATGTAGACAAATGACAATAAAAAGCAAGGCTGGCCTCTCAGGAGCTGAAAGGAGACAACTCTGTAATACCAGGACTTACTCAACAAAACTCTGGAGAATCACATTTGAATTAGTAATAATAACAATACTGTCCCTTAAAAGAAAGGTTACAAGACACAGGGTCATTCTGAAATATAATTATAGCACAAAGAATAACCACAAAGTCTGCGACTTAATTCATAACATATTGTTATCTAACAGCTCCAAAATCTTGGCACTTATTTTTTTATCATTTCTGTTCTATAGTCATATACTCCTCCATCTCCTACATTTTCCATAAAAATTTTCTCATATTTCTTCCTTTATTAATGAGAAAACTACAGCATTTCAGAATAAAGAAGTTACTTGTGATTCCATAGATGTCAGATATAGAATTCAATTTTCTAATTTCTTAGACAATAACTTTTCAAATTTGCAATGCCTCACCAAGAATACATATATTATTTGATGTCAATAATAATAAACAAAAAAACCCTGATTAAATAAATGGTAATTGATTTTTTTCTTAGAGTGCCTAAAGAACAAGCAATTTCCTTAGCTAAAGGCCCTCCCCTGCAAACCCTGATGATAAAAAGGAGACAATGAATATTCTTCCACATACTCAGGAGGTCGGGTATCTGGTCCAAGATCTCGGTGTAAAGAAATCCTGTCACTTGCAAAAGCATTAAAACAGTGTTTTGCTTCTCCACGTTCTTTTTCTTTCTGTTCTTCAATACTTAGACTTACTGTCTTGAATGCTTTACCAAAAGCACCAGGTGCGTTAGAATCCTGAGGTGGGCGGTCAAGAATGGGTTTCAGTTCTGCTGCTGTATAATATCCTTGCAAACAGGGTCTCTCACCAGCATCAATGTTTTGCCTGACAGGTGCTCCTATTTGCATTTTTGGCATTGCATCTTTAATATTGTTTACAGCTTCTAACATTAAATCAAGCATCTTGTTTTTGTTTTTCATGTTTCTTTCCATCCTTGATTCCTCTTTGGAATATTGAACACTTACTTCTCTTTGCATTAAAATCAAAAATATTATGAAGAAAAAAATTACTGCACCAAGCTTCCAGAACTTTTTATGGTAATGTCTTTTAAGATGTAATTTCACTAGCCGCTTTAGGTGAGCCATTCTGACATTGAAAGCTTGTCACTTGACAAATAACAGTTATAGTTTCTTCTTCTACTTATATTTTTTATCATAGATTTGCTGGCAAGATTTCATTAAATGGTAATACCTATAAACAGAAATGATAGATGACATTAGTAGTTTTTCATTCCTATCAGCATGGTTCCATTCATTCATTCCACCAACAACTGAAAAGGAGCTACAAACATACTCTTACTGTTAACAAAAATACAAAGATATCTTGCCCTCAGGGAAATTACACTTTAGAAAACCACAATTGCTATAGTTAATTACAGTCTACTAGGACTATAAGTATTAGGGATTTATCTCCAGTAAGTAACTATGTCCCTTAACTCTGGCAAACAGCTATTATATACTATGCATAAAAGTATTTTTATAAGTATATTTTGAGTCTAAAAAGCAGGTATCTTAACTTGATCATCAAGGGGCCAAAGGACTTCACTAAACTGATTACAAAGAAAGCAGGAATTCATAAGAAAACAAAAGTATATTGACAGGTACTACCCATCATTCATTCAAAATATTGCCTTTTATTTTATGAAGTTTGTCTATAACCTATGAACCTTTACTCCAACTAAACCAATTAATATTAAAAAGCAGCATCTCCAACAAGCTGGAATTCTCCCAGATTTGCTGAACTGATAGTACTGTACTTGTGAATTCTGACAGAACCAGTAAAGACTAGAAAATTAAGAGCATCTGTTGTTATAAAATAGCCATTTTCAAATACAAAAATACATCATACAAATAAGAAATCTAATAGCAAAAAGAAAATGGTATTAAGCTTTGCTTGTAGTATCTCTAAAAAGGCAAGAGAGATCAAGTTATAAAAGCAATATTTGGCCTGATAAAATACTGCTTACTGTTGACCTTAACAACAGAGCAACATGTTTACTAAACACTAATACAGGCCACCAGGAGCAAAAGAAAGGGGGAGAGGGGAGGACATCAATAACAGGCTAAATCACGATGAGGGTTGATTTTCTTCATGATGCTTTAAAAATGTAATGTGAGGGGTTTTAATACACAATTACATACCATATAATTTGTAGGGGTAAAGGGTTAGACCTGTCTTCCCTAAAAGCCTGCCCTCCCCAAGCATATTTTAAGGAAAATGTCACTTATAGAAGTGAAAACTAACTTTAACACTTTATTCAGTTTCTCTTCCAAAGTTATCACTAAATTTAAAATAGGCAAACCAAGTTTTAAGATAGAATCTCTGGCATTTAGCAAGAAATTTTAAGCAGAATAAACAAAAATGGCAGAACAAGCACACTTAATTCTATATACTATTTCTAATTGGACTGCTCTATATTTTTTCTGGTATGGAATGGACACTGGCTCCAGAGAACACCTCAATTATGTGTTATTTTGCTCATAAAAATGAGGTGCCAATATTTCTGAACTTTGGTGGCTTTAAGAGCCTGACGTAAAGATTAAAATACCCTCCTCTGAACTTTATGCATTGTTTGAAGACATAATGCAAGGAGTCTGAGAACCACACAATTACTATATAATTTCTTATGTATCAATTGTTTTGCTAAGATGAGACTGTAAAATTATAGATACCTCTTACTTTTAAGGAGCAACAACTAGTATGACATTTCTAGGCAACCAAAAGGCAGCATGGTATATGCTATGACAGGAGACTAAGAAAGCAACATAGAGGGTAAGGAGAAATGTCAGGGAAAATTTCCCAGAGACAGCATCACTGAGCAGAGTCTTGCAAGATAAGCAAATTTTAGGCAGGTGGACAAGAGAGAGGATAGAAAGGGAATGGCTGATGCAAAGGCATAAAAGCAAGAAAAGCCATGGTCAATCCTGAGGACCACAGAAGAGGAGGGCACAGGTATGAATGGTAGGAGGTGAGGCTAGGTGATCAGTTAAAGACAAGTTAACAAAGTAAATTTGGAATCTACCAACTATGTCCTGAATAGATTAAATGGAAAGAACTGGGTGATTTTAAAGAAGGATCATAACCATATTTATGCTTTACAAAAATCAGTTTCCTCAGTGCCAATAAAATTGATGGATACCAAAAAATGAAGAAAGCACTAAGGATGGAAAAGACTGATTCAAAAGAGCCCCAGAAGTGGTATCAAGTAGGTCTTGGTGAGAGAAAGGGGAGAATGGGAGGCAGATGGGTCAAGTGATGACATTAAAGGCAGGGAATACAGGAAGAACGGATTTGGGGTGGAAATTGGAGACATAATTTTTTTTAAATTTTGGAGATGACAAATTTGAGATGCTAGCAGGATTTCCAAGATAAGTTCCCATAAGCAAGGAAGATACATGGAAGAGAAAATCAGAGAGAAATGCTACACTAGAGATGAAAATTGGAGAGCCAGTGTCAGGGTACATTAGAGTTCACCTACATTATATAATGAAAGCAGAGAAATAGCTACGTTTAAGGCATGAGAGGAGAAAGAATAAACTGGAAAGACCAGGGGAAATAAGAAAAAGAAGAGTCAAGTGAAAACAGATGGGCAGATAAAGTATCCATGTCAAGTAGACAGATTTTACAATCTGCATCTTATCCTTGAGAGATGATAATTGTCTGACAGCTGGATGGTCTTTAAAAATAAACTTCATTAGACCTGGTCCAACAAGCTTCAGTGCAAAACCAGAAATGAACCCTGGCAGAGATTCCAACAGACTAGATGTAGTCATGCCCCCAAGGTTCTAAGGCTTAGGATCCAGGTGCTTTCAGATTAACAGGGCAGTAATCTGATCTAAGTAAGAGAATCCAGGAAGATGAAAATGAGCAAAATATTGTGATAAATAAAATATTATTCATGGTCCCCAACCTATGAAATACAGCTTGATCACTTTTCTCTAACCATGGCTTGATAATAGACAGATATAAATCAACCTCTGTTCACCCTCCTTTCTGTCCCTGGAAGAACCACTAAAAATCCCCTTCTCAAGTGCTACTTAGTGATACTAGGTTTCTTCAGTAGCCAAAAGTAGGCTAGATTAAAAATTTCAGAGGAATAAGATAGGCTCCTTAGGATGTCTTAATACAATAGAGAACAAAACACTGTCCAGGGTAACCATGTAGTAGAGGGAGATGACAGAACTGGATCCTTCTATGGCAGTGATGCTTTTCCCAAAACATTTTATGCCAGAAATCATTTGTGGCTAGGATGGGGAATTAGAAAGAAGGATAGAATTAATAAGGTAATTGGAAGAGATCTTTTTAGGAATAAATTATAAACTAGAGGAGTCCTTCATCAATAGGGCAATAATTCGATCATTGCATGTGCTCATCTATTTAAGGGAAGCCTTCGATTAGTAGGTCTTAGTTTAGGATGTCTCGAGTGCGGGAGTCAGGGAAAGCTCATGAAGGACACGGAATGTGCCTCCCTTAGTCATGATTGTTTTCTGGCACTTACTACAATATTGGTGACATAGTGGGCACACAATAAATGTTTGTTGACTGGAAAAGTAAAAGAGAACCAAGATTTAATTTAGTATTAGAAATAATAAAAACAATAGTTAATTTTTGTTAAATGTTAAGTCCTTGATACTTTAACACTTACTACATACATTCTCATTTAGTCTTCCAATAGTCCTGTAAAGTTTATGTCATTCCCATATTACTGACAAAGAGAGTTAAATAGATTAAGCAGCTTAGTCAAGGTCATTTGGTTTAAGTGGAATAGCAACATTTCCTCAACACATTCAAACTCAGATCTCATGTAAAATCCTGAAGTTTTGCCCTGGCTTGTGTGGCTCAATGGACTGCGCACTTGCCTTTGAGCCATGGGGTCATGGGTTCAATTCCCAGTCAGGGCATATGCCTGGGTTGCAGGCCAGGTCCCCATTGGGAGACATGCAAGAGGCAACCACACATTGATGTTACTCTCCTCTTTCTTCCTCCTGTCCTTATTCTCTGAAATAAATGAATAAAATATTTTTTAAAAATCCTGATGTTCTAAATAAAGTTATCTGAAATAAGGTCTTTAAGACTTGAGAATTGATACCTTAAATGTCAGGAGACAAGAGGATTATCTAGGAAAAAAATAAAAATTCCCTCACATCACCTCGTATAAGATTTTCAGGGCAAATAAGTTAAAACAAAACAACAACAACAACAACAACAACAACAACAAAAACCCCATGTGTTTTCAGAGCATGTTTTTGGAAATAAGGATTGAGGATGAGGCTGTGGATCTTGACAATGGGGTTATTAAAAGACTGAGATATTTTAGTTGCAAAGTCTACAAAAGTAGGAACATGAGGCTTTGCTCTTTTCAGATTATTTCTGAAAAGTATAGTCTCCTTTTAGCAATTGCTGATCACTTGAAAAGTCCAACCTTAATTCTCCAGGGATTTTACATGCCTTTTTTTGTCCTCTGCTGCTAATGTGCAATATCAGCCTTCCATTAATGAGAGCTACATTCAACATTAAGCATTTCCATCAATGGTCCTGAACTCTAGATATACATTAGTGGAAAAATCTTTAAAAATGCAGTACCTTAGGCTCTACCTCTAGACTCTAGAGTCTAGAGAGTTTGATTTAATTGTTCTAATGGCAGGGCCTGGACCCTGCTTTTGTTATAGTAGGGCCTCCAGATAATTCTAAAGTGCAGCCAGGTTTAAGAATCATTGATTTAGGTTTTATTTCCCTGTGCTGGAACCCTGGGTTGTGTGGTCTGTCTCACTCCCATTGTTCCTCCCAGTTCATCTGCACACAAATGTGGGATTGCCCACTCTGCCAGCTGCTGCCTCGCTCACCCCTAGTCCTTCAGCCACCACCCTGCCATTCATCCTCTCCACTACGGCTGCCTGTTTCCACCCCTCCTACCAGTATGGATAAATGTTTCTTCAATCCTTAGTTATCAAACTTCCATACAGTTCGATTATCTGGTAGTTCTGGTTATTTTTTTTGTTTTTAAATTTGTTGTTGTCCTTCTTTTGGTTGTGCAAGGAGCCAAAGTATATCTACCTACACCTTCATCTTGGTTGCAAGCCTCAAAACTTCTGACTGTAAAAAACTGTGGGGGTTGACACAGCAGGAGAAATGCCCAGCCTCACAGGAGAGATTGTTGGAGAGACCCTAGAAAGTATGCAAAACCACCCCAACCCAGGAATCAGCACCAGAAAGGCCCAACTTGCTTGTGTGTAGCACAGGAAGCAACTGAAGTCAGGCCAATAGCAGAGCAAGTGGCACTGTCCCCTCTCAGACCCCTTCCCCACATACAGTGCCACAACACTGCTACATAGGTTGCCCCTCCCTGGTGAATACCTAAGGCTCTGCCCCTTACTACGTAACAGGCACACTGGGGCAAAGAAATATGGCCTGAGTGAAAGAACACATCAAAGCTCTAGAAAAAACATAACTAAGCAATGAAGAGATAGCCAACCTATCAGATGCAGATTTCAAAACATTGGTAATCAGGATGCTCACAGAAATGGTTGAGTGTGGTTACAAAATAGAGGAAAAAGTGAAGGCTAAGAAAAGTGAAATAAGGAAAATGAACAGGGAACCAATAATGAATGGAAGGAAACTGGGACTCAAATCAATGAGTTGGAACAAAAGGAAGAAATAAACATTCAACCAGAACAGAATAAACAAACAAGAATTCAAAAAAATGAGGAGAGGTTTAGGAACCTCTGGGACAAATTTAAATGTTCTAATATCCAAATCGTAGGGGTGTTAGAAGCAGAAGAGAAAGAGCAAGAAGTTGAAAACTTATTTATAAACATAATGAAGGTGGACTTCCCAAATCTGGTAAAGGAAATAGACTTCCAGGAAGCACAGAGAATCCCCCCAAAAATGGACCCAAGGAAGCACACACCAAGGCACATCATAATTACATTACCTGAGATTAACGATAAGGAGAGAATCTTAAAAGCAGCAAAAGAAAAGGAGACAGTTACCTACAAAGGAGTTCCCATAAGACTATCAGTTGATTTAAGAAGGGGCTGGAAAGAAGTATTCAAAGTCATGAAAGGCAAGGTCCTGCATCCAAGATTACTCTATCCAGCAAAGCTATCATTTAGAATGGAAGGGTAGATAAAGTGTTTCCCAGATAAGGTAAAGTTAAAGGAGTTCATCATCACCAAGCCCTTAATATATGAAATGTTAACGGGACTTATCTAAGAAAGAGAAGATCAAAAATACAAACAATAAAATGACAACTCACAACTATCAACAACCAAAGCTAAAAAAAACAAAAACAAAAACAAAAAACAGAAACAAAAACGAACTAAGCAAACAACTAGATCAGAAACAGATTCACAGAAATAGAGATCACTTGGAGGGTTATCAGTGCAGAGGGGGTGGGGAGAGAATGGGGGAAAAGGTACAAAGAATAAGAAGCATAAATGGTAGGTTAAAAATAGACAGGGGATGTTAAGAATAGTATGGGAAATGGAGAAACCAAAGAACTTAAATGTATGACCCATGGACATGAACTACAGTGGGGGAATGGATGGTGAGAGGGAGGGTACAGGGTAGAGGGGAATAAAGGGGAGAAAAAAATGTGACAACTGTATTAGCATAATCAATACAATATATTTAAAAAAGAGAATCACTGATTTAGGTCACAGACTTCAAACAAATCAAAACTAGCACATGATAGAGAGAGGAATTTATCCAACCAAAGGCAACCATATTATTAATTCCTAATACTCCAAGAACAGATTTTTCAAATATATTCTTGCTGTAAATTGAAAAAAGTTATTTTGACATGGAGAGAGAAGATAAAATCTAAAGCAGGAATGACCCAAATTTTCTGGATGAGGCTCAGGAATTAATGCTGGTATAAATGAGACAGGGAAGTTTTACTGCAAATTATGATTCTGTAAAACCATTTTTTAAATATTTGTTCCCAACACAAAGATAGAAAACCTGAGACTCTGAACAATAAAACAACCCAAAAGACACACAATAAGTTCATAAGCAAAATAAAACCATGATTCTTAATTCCTATTCTAGAAATAATGTCATGCTCCTAGATCATGCTTCTTGACAAATTTGAAGACCTATGTGAAAACAGCCAATAAAACAAATCTCTCCTAGAATCAACTTCCAATTTGCCTTAGAAGTTTGAGTCCTGACCAAAAAATCAACAAAACAGCAAACTCAAATATAGTAAGTTATATTTGCACATTAGAAGTAATTAGCATATAAAGAGTTTGTTCTCATATTTTAAAACCTTTAAACATCCCAATCCAAAATGGTCATTTGATAATTATAAAAGATCAGATTCACAGAAAAAGAGAAAGGAATACCATAAAATAGCTTTTTAAAACTAGAAAAAAATAATTAAAATTAATTAAATTTTCTAAATTAGAGATACTTATAAATCTCTAAAATTAGAAAAGATTAAAATTCAAAAACTTTCTGGTCTTAAAAAATATTGCTGTGTATATCCTACTATATTATGTAGACCTTTCAAAAAGGCATTAATAATAAATAAAAATATCCACAAAATGATACTTTGAAAGGCTAAAACAGTATGAACTATTCTAAGTCTATAAGGCCTGGGTTAAAAACAATGGACTATTCTTAGGGGTAAAATATGTTTTCATCTCAACAGAAAAAAAAACTGAAATCTCAAAAATTAAAATAATTTAACTACAAAGCTGTGGCTTCCAGTTATCTAGACTATAGCTTCTCCAACTTGAATGTGACAATGAATCACCTGGGGATGTTGTTTAAATGCAGGCAGATGGGGAAAATATCAAGATAAGATCTATCTTTATAGTCATGGTTATCCCTCCAGATGGAAAAGCACACACTGCAAGAAAATGAGTTTAATATAAAAATTCCAACTGAAGCAATCTTCTGAAGCAGTGAAAAGCAGAATACTTCATAACTGCATGTGAAAGTAGCATTTAATAAAACAAGAGGACAGCAGTTCTTTCCAGTTCTTGTTTCGGTACTTATGACAATAAAACTTTGCAACCCCAGGGATTTAAGGTCTGGTTCCAGTTACTTTAACTGGCAAAAAGCCAAATTGGTATATGAAACTTGCTGATTACTGAGTTAAAGTATGTTGTAAAGAGTTAATGGTAACCATGCAAAGCAAGAAATCACAAAATTACATCCCTAAAACCTAGCATAGATTGTAGATTTTAAAAAGTACACTGTTGTGCATTAATACTCATTGGGTCTTTGCCACACATTCTCATCTGGGTTCACTAACTGAATAAAAAAAAAACACAAGACAATAACAACAAACTGGCTCTGATTATAAACCCTTAAATTCTTGGGCAGAATTTCTATTAAGTGTCCATCTGCTGCTGAAAATGTTAGGGAATGGAGAAGTGGCAGGAAGTGATTTCTGCTTGTATTTATTGGTAGAATCAAATTCCATGGTGATTTGCTACTGTGGTTAGTTTTGGTTATGTTTAAGTCCATGCTCATTCACATCCTTGCCAGCAATACTTCCAAGCAGGGAATGACTCGTGGATGTATGACAAGGGACAAACAATGATGCAAAGCAAACTGCATTGAGACAGACAGCCACATGGTATCTCACAGGCAGCAGCAGCAGACATACCTCAAAGATTCCAGCTAAAAACCAATTAGAGTTGCTCCAGGTGCCTGGAAAGTGCCACCAGTGTACAACCAATTGCATGTGACTGTCATAAAATGAATGACTTTCTGAATATACGTTTCTGCAGGTTACAAGACAAAAAGCCTAGTGACAGACTTTGATGTGAAGCACAAATTTTAATAAACAGAAGGGCATGGCCAGACATTCAACTTCTCAGTTATACCTGATCAGATAAACATCTTTGAAGGTGAAAGGTTGTGGACAGGATCTTGATTTGTGGACCAGCCAACTCTACGGTTTGGAGCAAGAAAGCAATTATGGAGCAACACTACCCATGGAGGGGGAGAGGTGAGGCTCACATACTCTCTCCTGCCACATCTGCACCTGTGGATGAATTTCATATAACATATGAAATAACATATTGATTATTTACAACATACTAGACAGTAGAGTGATTTTGAGGAGTGACTGGAGTGGTTCCACAGATTATACTGAACTGATATTTCCCCCAGGCAAAAGCACTGCGCTTTAAAAGATTTGTCCATCTAATTAGTTTCATTGCAAGCATGGTTGATGGCTTCTGGATTAGTAAAGAGGCAGAAATTACATAGTTATCTGAACAAGAAAATTTTCATCTGTTTTTACTAAAGGATTAGAATAATGGAATTGGCTAGTGAGAGTTAAAGAGAATTCTAAATACAGGATGACCAAATATAAGGTGCAACTGCTACCCCGCTAAGGTGAGACGGCCAAGGGAGAGCTTTCCCCTTACCAGGCTGAGATCCAGAGAGCTCTACCATGAGGGCATGGCACTGGTTCCCTGACAGTGGAAAAGTCACTGAGGTGCCTCACTCTGTGAGACTTGTCAGAAACCTGCCTTCTGGAGTCTCAGAGGGAGCCATTCATAAAGAGATATCAAATCCTAGAATTTGCTATTGGGTACTCAAGAATATTGTTGGCTACCCTCAGAACTGGAGCTGAGAAGCTGTCTTCTACAGGAGCCTAGAGTACTTGCATGTGCATCTTGGGCCAGTATAGCTCCAGGCTGGTGCCAGGATAAAAAGTGGGCAGTCAGCTCCCTAGATACCTGGTCTTGTAGGGTCCCTAGTGCATACATACATGAGTCTAAAAAGAAAGTATGGGGAGCAGCGACCGGGGCTAGGGAATAGGTCTGTGATGCCTGTGGCTCCAGGGTATACCACTGCTGCTCCAATCAAACCCTGGAGAGAAAGCAGAAGCAGGCAGGTGCCGACTCTTAAGGATGCAATTACCTAGCACTGGAGAAAACATCTCTCATTCCAGACATGCTGTGCTCTCATACTGCAGGGCTGAGCAGTAGAGAAAGAGTATACCAGCAAGAGCCTGGCCAGCAAGCTCCTCACCTCAGTGCTCTCGACTAACAAGGCTTATTAACATTGCACCAGCTAGCAAAGCAGAAATATTTACAGGGCCCAGCTCCATTATTACAAAGTAAGTGAATAAAATGCATTTGGAGTTGAGAAACTATAAATTGATGAGCAGCATAGTTCACCCTTGTGGCTACTCAGCCTCCATATGCACACTCCCCCACATATTTGAACTCCTAAACAAAAACAAAACAGTTTTATATCCCACCTAACAAGGTGTAAGCATCCTTCTTACAGTGGAGATCTCAAAATGAGGAGATGCAGAGTGCCACCAGCCACTGTATCCATTACTGTGACTGAATTACTTCTCAAATTCTGTCATAGTCCCACTTAATACAAAGACTAACTTGTAAATTTAATCTCTAACACTTTCTTTGTAATATATTTTTAAAAAGAAAAGGGGAATGAGATAAGAAAATTGTTAGTTTATAAACATATACACATATATGTATGTATAAGAAAAGCAAAGGGAAAATGTTCAAAGCTACTACAATCCTCATTTACCCATTTGGCCACGAGGTCGTAATTGGTATCTGTGACTTTTTCCACTACCCATTCTGGATCTACCCTGGCTTCAGGCATTCTGTGAGTCCAGAGACGTTGGTGCTGGCAGCAAGAGCAACTCTATATCCAGAATACTTATCAATTCTAATGAGGACAAATCTCTGCCTGCTCAGTGATGTAAGAAGTCAAACATCCTGCAATCAGCCTGTCCCACAGGTTACCCCTAATCACTCAGTGTTGGTTTCTGCAGATTTGGAACTCAGCAGTAGGGCTAGCCAGGTCAACTTTAGAAAGAGGAAGTCTATGTTGCTTAGCCTATGCAGCCTATGCGTACATAGCCTCCATTTCTGCCACCATGGCCACTGCTTATGGGCTCACTGAATAAGAATTGGAGTGGCTGGGGAGAGAGGCTGACTGACATCCATAGTGTGTGTCATTTTTTCCAGTTGATGAGTGACAGCAATATATGTCTTATGGTGGGCATTCAGATGGGACAAATTTCTTCAGGCTCTCCCCTTTTTGAAAGGTCTATCTTCATACCTCTTCCTCAAACTTCCTTGTTACCAATCTTCTACTCCTGTTCCTTCCCAGTCCCTGATGATGTAGTCAAACCATTAGCCTCTTCCTATGCACCATTACAGAGCTGTCATTCTGGCCATCTCTCTTTCCAGACATGTTGTGCTCTCATATCTACTGTTCAAAAGTTTGCCTACTGGGAGCATTTTCCTTCTCCATTGCCTTTCAAAATTACTCATGGTGGGGCTGTAAGTGCTATAGCTTGGGTAGTATGAGCATATCTCTATAAACTAGACTTGAGGTTTTTCTTCTTCCATCAACTAAATTAAGGACATATCCAAGAGGCCAAAGGCAAGGGTTGAAGGAGTGGGGGCCATACAACAGGACCTGTTTTTAAAGGAGTCTGAGACACTTGCTCATTCAACTTATACTGTACCAATCTGCCCAAGCTTTGTTCCTTACATACCATTTCTGCTCGGTGACAGACTGCTGCTGTACATGGCCAGCCTTATGGCTAAGTAAGTCAGACAACACCCTCTTAAAGAATGAGCAGTCCAGTTTACATGGTAACCTGACACCCCACAGTCATGCATTTAGTATCTACCTAGTAGCAAGACAAAAGCTGTTTACCAAAGGGTAACTAGTTATCTGAAGAAGTCATATATTCATTTCAAAATCCCAGACAGCTGCATTGTGATTCTGTTATTGGTTCTTGCTAGAGGTTTGATAAATTATCCCTATATGCTACAGACACTTAGAGAATCAATGGATCTGCTCAATCATAAAGTTAAGTGGTAGCACAGTATGCACTGTCCTGGATGTGCAGTCTTATGGGTTACTCTGTAGATAAGGCAGCATGTTAAAATGTATATACATTGCCTCTAAAATCCAAAAGGGCTTACTGAGCACAATTATCAATGAATATCTAGAAACGTTACTGATGTGCCCCTGAATTTTTGTGGTTCTCATGTGCTTGACTAAGACATCTGAAGTATTTGTTACTTTCTGCTCCTCAGATAACAATCAGCATAATTACATTATCAGTGTAGTGGACCAGTGCGATGTTTTGTGGAATGTTGCAAAGATTAAGATTTCTAAAACAGGAGAACTGCCCTGACCCTGAGGTCAGACTGTGACGGTATATTTTGGCTCTGCTAGGTAAAAGCAAATTGCTTTTGGTGGTCCTTGTAACTTGGTATAGAGAAAAAGCAACTAACCAAGTCAATAGCCACAGAGCATATGCCAGGGTCTGTGGATTTGATCAAGTAAAGGTACTATATACCTGAATCAGCTACATTCAGAATCAGCCAATGGTTAAGTTTATAACAGTCCAATCATTCTCTAAGATCTGACTTCTGCACAGGTCAAATAAGTGAGTTAAATGGAGATGTGGTAATTATAACAAGTCTTTTCTCAAATCTTTGATGGTGGTATTAATCTCAACAATTCCTGCAGGGATATGGTATTCGGATTTACTATTTCAGAAGAGAGAAGTACTAAGGTCTTCCACTTAGCTCTCCTATCACAATGGTCGTCAATCCAAGATTTAGAGAGACAATACAGGATTCAACTGGGCAGTGAGTCAGACATGAGCTAAGACTCCAGCCTGACCACTATAACTTCCCATGTTGACTAACTGGCCACAATGGTATTTTGGGTTCCCAGAATTAGTATAAAAGATATGAGTATTTCCTTTTCCCCAAAGCACAATCTAATAAATGGCTACAGGTTTCTTGGGGGAAGACTTGGAGGAAGATTTGTGATGTATGACTGAGGCAATAGTACAGCATTCTTCCTCAAGGAAAAGAGGACTCCACTTTCAATCAAGAGTCCTGGGCCTGTGAATTGACTTAGGTTTGGCAACTGGGTGAGAGGTTGTGACCTGCAAATGCATCAACTAAAGTCAACATTTCTGTTACCAAAACTAGTGTTTTCCTGTTATATACGCAAAGTGATGTTATATTACTGCTCATCTACTTCGTTCATTAGTTACCACTGGAAAACCTGCCAAAGACATTACCTTAGCTACCAAAAGTATTTGTGAGCCAATGTCTTCAGGTTACATCTATGTCCCTGCTTTCCATTATTGTATACATATCTATTTTGTCCCTGGTGTTTGAGTGCTATCACTTGGCTTCTAGAGCTGCTATGGGATCCCATCGTCTCCACTCAAGTCAGGGAGCCAATCTGCATGGCCTGCAATGGAGAGTAATCACAGATTTTTTTGTGTGTGCCAATGCAAGGGTTCTCCTCACTGTTTTTCTCAATATCTTAGTGAGAGATATCTTGGGAGTGTCTACTAGGCCTTGCCATGGAATACAGTTGGAAGTGGGACGTGTGAGTTGCACACAATAAATTCAGTCAAATGTTTATAAAGGAGCCCAAACACTCACAATTAGTAAGATGATTTCTGTCCTTTCATTCTCCCTTTGAGGTTCCAGAATATCAGGGGTAGGTTAGTGGGGAAGCAAGGGAGTAAGGTTGCTTGATCGACAGCTATCACTTTGCTTTCATCTACCTGCAGGTGTATCCACAACTCATTCATCCTCTACCTCCCAACTTCCATTCCCCTCTAGAAAAGGTATCAGTAAACTTTCTGTAAAAAAACTAAATGGTAAATATTTTTCCTTTTGGGCAATATAGTCTCTGTTGCTACTACTCCAGTCTATTTTCATTGTTCAAAAGTAGCTATAGACAATACTTAAATGAATGGGTGGGGCTGGTTCCAATAAAATTGTGTTAACAAAACCAGGTGGCCCAAAGGCTGTAGCTTGCCAACCCCCAGTCCAGAAATTCAAAAAGACTTCAACCTCAACATTTATGTAGTTCCCTATACTTACCCCTTCACCATTAGTTGCAGCATCCCCAGATGTAAAAGAACAAAATTAATTCTCCATGAAAACTGTGCATAAAAGCAATGCCTGTCTTTAAGACTAGGCTATATAGATGCCTAATTTG